TCACCATGCCCTATTTGTGATGGAAAACATGGGAATTATGGATTACATGGCTCATGGTACTGCGAAAATGGGAATCAGCTCCCTTATGATCCTGAATTAGCGAAGTTGTATTCCCAAAATAAGTTGGAATATTGTCTTGCTTGCTTCACTTCAAGCAATAAATTCAGGTTCGCGATTGTGGCTTAGACCGGTCATGTGAAATCAATGTGCAGGAAGTTGCCACAAAAAATAAAGTCCGCAGTCATTGGTATAAAGCATACAGTGTATCACAAGTATTTATTTAAAAAATAGCTACGATCTAATGCTAACCGCAGTGCATCTATTTTTAATGTTCTATTAGTAAACCGTGCGTATAAGCACTTTCGTTATGCATTATTTCCCGAAAGTTCCAGTAAATAATTTATCTCATGAATTATGAGAATGGAAATCGGGAGTAACAGATCAACTCAATTTCCACGGAAATTTTTTATGTAATCCCTAATGAAAATTTTCCCAAAGATCTTAGACCTATTACATATATATATATAAAGGAGGCGAGACAGTTAGTGAACCCTTTTATCTGTCTTGTGCAAATATAAGCAAAAATCAAGTGAACTAAAAAATCTAATCAAACTTACCAATATTTCCGTCGTTAATATCCTTGATCAAGCGAACCTATATGTTCCGTGAAGTAATAATAAGGTAGGACAGTTTATAATTCGGCTAGCTTCTTGAAACATGTCATCACGATGTTAATTAATTTTCCCTCCTCTATAGATGTTCCAAAATAAAACGGACATATTACTTTTCTTATATATCGGCATTTTGATCTTCACCGAGAAAATCTTTGACTATCATCACGCGTATAATAGGCACAGTATCATAAAAATAATTCCCCGTGATGGGATATTAATCTTATCTAATCGACACGATTTAAACTTTAATTTTTTATTGATTGAATAGAATCGAAAAAAATTAGCCAATAAAGAAATTCATTATAAATCACGCGATGTGGTGTCGCTAGAAATATTTTTTATTTAATAATTATATAACTAAACATATCTAATAGGTAATAAAGGTTAATTCTGTCTTAGTTATTTACTTCGCTTGACTGAGTAAAACCATTTGCTGAATGGTGTACAAGTCGATTGTAAAATTAGCACCCATTAATGTTGCAGGAGGAGGGGGTAATGGTGTGTATCCAGTATCTCCAGGAACTGCTGGATCAGCGGGAATCGCAGGATCATAAAATACATCACTAACGGGGATCGTGATTATATAGTTGGCGATTCCTGGTGCATTACAGCCAGTGGCAGTTCCGTCTTTGTTTACGGTTCCGAAATGCCACTATCATATAAAAAATGGATTTTTGAGCATTACAATAAATAGAAAAATAGAGAACAGTCAACCTTACTTTTTGTTTTGGAGCTCCTTGTCTCCAAAGAATAGCCTAATATTAAAAATTAAAATTAATATAAATATGAAATTGTATAATAATTAAAAAAAAATGGGTATACCTTCATTGCACGATTTCGATCTCCTTGTGTATTGCGTGTAGCCAGCGGATCATATAGTTTGATGCCTAGGATAGATCGAACGTATGTTTGCCGTTTCCAAAGGCGACACTTAGTCTTTAAGTCGGAGGAATCTTGAGATACAGCAATCTCACAAATTATCCTTGCATAGGGATTTCCCTACATCAACCATATTAAATATATATAAAAATTTTCTACACCATATGAATTATAACAAGTTAAAAATACCCTTATATCGCTGGGAGGTGGTCCGGGGTGAGGGTTTGGGGGAGGTGGAACGAAAGTTTTATGCGGAAAAACGGCGACATCTGGTTCATTGCGAACTCCATCTGGTGAGAGATGTACTTGGGAAGAACGTGAGAAATGTTAGAAAATAATAATAAATAAGGGATCAAGTAAGTAATTGTGAGGAAATTCTCTTACATGGCGTACCACGAACTTGTATTGGAGCATTATAATCAGCGTAAGTACCATCGTGGGCATGGAAGGATTTACTCAATGAATCAACAACAGCCTCATGTTCATTTGAGCACATATCGACTATACATACAGTTCCTTTTCGATATTCAAGTTTATATCCGCTTTTTGACTCGTGTTTTTCAATGAAAGAGTTATAATCTTGCACAGATATTTCTAAAGCAATTGGAAAAGGAAGACTGCAATTCATATGAGTCAACAAACAATGAATGAATTCCAATACAAACTAATACAATATACACCCACTTGTTTTCTATCGGCTTGTCTGGTATATGAATCTTCCCTGAAGAAGACACCTTCTTAAGAAACTCAAATAGATTATATACCATTTTTTTATTATGGGTAAGATGGGTAAGTAGAGGTGTAATTTGATCTTAAATATTGCATATCGAATTAAGATAAAAATAAACTATCAGTTTAAGGGCATGATTATCAGAGTTACGCAAATTGGTAATCAATATATCATCAAATAAGTAACTCCTGAATTAACGAATACTTATGCAGAAAATTTACTTTCCTATTAAGTTAATCAATTGTGACTAGTACGGAGAAGACTGGCCTTATATTTGCGAAGCTGAAAATGACTTTATCAATTGTATCTTATCATACCCGATATCACTAAATAGATCATAAACCTTTCTCGCCCTTAAGAGTTTTCCTGACATTGTACTGCGCATTTCAGGTGATCAGTCCACATGACTGGCCTATCCGACCGTCGATTATTCTCAAATTTTAGTAGTTTTGCACTGATTATAATACAATACCTTAAATTGCAAGCATCAAATAAATGAAAAAAAACTTCTGTAAATTTACTAGTGTAAAACCTTGAATTCATTAAAAATGTGAGAAGAATAATTAGAAAAACTTTAAAACGTTTGCAATTTATGAGTAAAATGTTTTTTCCTAAATAAATAGTGAGTTGGGATGACAGATGCTATAGAAGCAGAATTTGAATAGTTACTGCGCCACCGTCACGTGACTTTGCTGACCCGCGGGTCAGAGAAATCAAAATGCGAAAAAATAAATAGTTCACTTTCATTTCGGCTATTTTTGTCTGCCTATGTATTAACCATAGTCGGTTTGTATGTGCTTATCAAATAAAGTTTTGCCTACATTGGGCCTTCTCCTTTTTTAACTATATATCCTTATAAATGCTATGCGACTGCTTATCGAATAAATTAGACTACCCCCTTACTGATCATCTCGTGACTTGAGTTGCGGGAAGATTTCGAGGAAGTGCCGGGAACTGTCTGGGAGCTAGGGTGATACAAATTTTTATGTTATACATAATTCCGGCTAATCCCTGTTAATCACGAGAGATCCACAAACCACATGTAAATATAAAATCCGAAGGGATATGACCCTATATAAATCCCTATAATCGAATAAAAATGAATTTGGGTTTAACAGTATGTAGTCTCACAAATCGGCTACAAATCGATAAAATCGCTATATAGCATTAAAACTGCCATAATTCTCTTAACCAGTAAATTTGAATCTGATATTTATTAGAGTATAATATTGCTAAATCAGCTAAAATCGGCTATAAACTATAAAATCGGTATAATCTATTATAATCTATCAAAATACTAATATGGATTTAGATAGTAGAGGCCATTCTAAGCTAGTTGAGGCATGGAATAGTGGACGCTCTGATGAATATACAAGAATACTTGAAAAATTATTCCCTTTAACAAATAGACATGATCACGAAACACCAGAAATGTGGTGCTCTCGTGTTCGTGATCCATTCAGGAAACTACTAGAAGAGCACCATTCTTCAAGAGGTGGAATCCTTTCTGGGAATGGATATATTAAAATGTTTGGAAAATTAATTGAAAGAAGTGATAGAGTCCATGGTATTCCATCAAATTACATATATTGTAGTGTATGCGACTCCTTAGTTTTCATACCTGAAAATGGTTATAGTAGTGCTAATTGCTATCGAGATAACCACTTTAAGAGCTGTATCAATGAAGTTACTATTTCAAAAGAACATACAAGGAGAAAAGAAATTCTCGAATCTATTGATAGAAGGGAATTTCAGATCTGGTAATATAAACAATACATATTAAAAGAAGAGGCTAAAATTAATCGTCTTCATCTAGAGCTTTTCTCCCAATCTACCTTACACTCAGAAAAGGATAAATTGGCATCGGTATCATATGATTCTGATTATTGTTCAACTAGCTATGAAACATATAAGCAGGTTAAAATGACTATGGCAGAAAATACTATGTCATGTGCTCCAAAATTCGAGCCAGCTTATATTTCACCTACTAGACAAGAAACGATTTTACCAACTTCTTATCAATCATCGGCTCCAAATGAGACCATAAGCGAAATATTTATCTCATCTCGGTATGCTAAACAAAATAACTTATTACCATCTATAGACCATCTTAATCAGCCCGCATTAAGATTGAGAGATGGTACAAAAATCACATTCGTTTAACTGGTTTAACTAACTGATAAATATATTAATTATAGACTATTGAAGATTAATATCATTTAGCTAAAGGCACAATTAAAGATGGCGTTGCAACATTGTGACACTTATTTGTCACCTGTTGCAACTTAAATTTTAATAATGTTGCAATTCG